AGACCCTCCGGTGTAAACAGGACTCTCCCCGGAGGCCGCTCCTCGGCCCCTCCCCTCGAGGCCGCCTGCTGCCTGCTCCTCTCCTTGCACAGCCACTGCCTCTATTTTCTCGTTTCCCTCCGATCTTGCCGGCTGTATCCTTTCCTTTGCCCGTGGCCGGCTGCTGTCTTTTCTCTCCGTAGCACCTTTTCAGCCCCCCCCCCCCCACACACACACACTCGATAAAGAACCCCGAGTCCCTAAAAACCACAAGCGGGATAGGAATAGCCTTCGAAAAAGCCTCTGCTCAGCATTGCACCGCCTTGCATGGAGCCGTCCTTGCTCTCGTCAGCTCCCTTCCCTGGCCCCTCCGTTTGCCCTTGCCTCTCTTCCAGCCTTTAATTTCTCCAGGGAACTGGCTGAGGATTGCTTTGGGCAATTAATTCGGCCAGGGCTTGGGGGCTGGGAGCCCGACCTTGGGAGTGGAGGGTGGCTGAGGAGGTCACGGGGGCCTCCTGATGGCCTGTGAAGCGGGAAGGAGGGACCCCGTGGGATTACAGGCCGTGGAAGAGGGGGGCTGTGTGCGAGATCTGGCAAGGTGTGGTGGCACGTGACTTCACTGAGTAGGTGTCTTTGTATGTCTGAAATTCAGCGAGTGTGTGGGACTGCCTGTGTCAGTTACATGTGTGCATGTGGAGGCCTGGAGCCGTGCTGCTGGTTTGTGTGTGCCCAGGACACCACCGTGCTCTGGGGCTGTCTGTCTCAGGAGGGTGCCAGAAGACCAAACACGGGCCATGTGTCTCCTCTGAAGCTGTGTGTGTGAACTGGTGCCAGTCCGTGTCAGCGTGTGCCCGTGTTGAGTAAATGGGCCAGAGGGCTGCTTAGCACAGACCTGGGTCATACCCTCCTGGAAAGGGGATCATGGAAGGACAGTGACCAGAAGGACAGAGCAGGGAGGAGAGGGCCCGGCCCCTTGGACTTTGGTCTCTGGTAATGTCCCTCCCCCCTTAAGCCCAGATGGGAAACTCAGGCCAGGGGCACACAGACTTAGTGCTAGGGCCCAGAGAGAAGCTCATGAGCCTCGGCCGCTCTCCAGGCCCAGGATGGAGGAGCAAGCCCACCAGGTAGTAGAAACACCATACTGCCCCGGCCGGATAGCCCAGCTGGTTAGAGCGTCGTGCCAGGGTTTGATCCCTGGTCGGGACACATCCAAGAATTAACCAATGAATGCATAAATAAATGGATCAACAAATCAATGTCTTTCTTGCTCATCAAAAATAAATTTGAAAAAAAGAAAGAAATGCCATACCGACCATGTGGCAAAGAAATGAGGACAGCCAAGTGACATGAGGAAACCTAGCTGGAGTGAGAGGGTCAAGCATTCTCCCTTCCCTGAAAGGGAGAAGGGAATTGAGTGTCCCTCCAGGCCAACCACTGACACCAGCCCATACCCCCTCCTATCCCAGTACAGTTCCAGAAAGGACACACCCTCCCAGGGTGATCTACTCACACAGAAAACTTCCATCCACATGGAATCAGATACACAGAGTTGCACACCAATGCCAGATCTGATCATAAGGAGACACTCGTTCAGGGCCTGCCAAGGGTGGGGTGGGAAGAGGAGGGATCAAAATTGGAAGGGCAGGTGTGTCTAGAGAAGGGGGACTCTCAGGAGCATCTCCCTCTGCCACATCAGAAAAGGACATTAGGGTGTGCCTGCTAAGATCTTGGGGTGAAGAAGAGGGGCAGTGCAAGTGCAGAGGGGGTGGCCTCCAGACATGTACTTTCCCCATCTGTATTTCTGTCCCACCCCAGACACGGAACTTGTTTCTCTCATTTCATTTCCATGTCCCACATTCTCCCATGTTTGTTTTATCCTACTTGACCTACATCCCCTGGAAGTAGTTATTTCTACCCTCCTACCACACCGTGCACACACCACAGGCCTTAGGGAGGTGGAAATTACTTGAACGTTTTTTTTTCCCAGAGAGGGGAGTGGGAAAAAGTGAGAGGGGGTGCCAGGAATTGGGCTAGAGTGCTCTCCCTATTCCTGTGGTGTTTGCCCAAGTAGGAGCCTGAGGATTCTGGGGACAGACACACAGACAGGGAAACAAAGGCTTTGGTAGCTGGGGGGAAGCTGGGAGGGATGCCCAGGAAAGAGTACCAGGAAAAGGCCCTAGGGGTAGACAAAAGGCAGAGCTGGGCAGGCAGTGGGAGGGGGTGGGGCATCAGGGCTGTGAGCAGATGGAGGGGATTTGCTTTGCTGAGCTGAACTCTGCAGCCAGTGAGGTTTGGAAGAACTTGATGGGGATGGTGAGCAGTTACCTTGGCCACCTAGTTCTCTTTCCTCATCACTTTTCATCTTCTCTGAGACGGGAAGAAAGTGTCTGATCTCAGCCCTGTTGTGGCCTTTAAGGCCCCTGCGACCTCTGTTCTGACTCTAAACTGCTGTCACTACCTTCTCTATTTCACACTCTCCTCTAAGCTCACTGCAGAGGGAGAACCAGGGCTAGAGGGACTTCAGGGCTGCAGATGCTTTCTGGTGAGAGAAAGGTGACCTCTTTCTCTCTTGCAGGACCTGAAGGAGAAGAAAGAGAAGGTGGAGGAGAAGGCAAGCCGGAAAGAGCGGAAGAAAGAAGTGGTGGAGGTGCTGAGGGTCAGGGGTGGGGGTTGTGCCCACCTTGCCCCACCCTTCCGGCCCTCCCAGTGCCCCTGGCCGCTGGTGGTGATGGTGTGGGAGGCAAACAGCCAGCCTGACACTGCTCTCTCCTCTGGTCCCCAAAGGAGGAGGAGAATGGAGCTGAGGAGGAGGAAGAAGAAACCGCTGAGGACGGAGAGGAGGAGGATGAAGGAGAAGAAGAAGGTGGGGAGGGGCAAGGAACAGAGTCAGGGTGGGCTTGAAGACCTGATGTAGGGCTGAGGGCGACCACTGGGGCCTGCTGGGGCTCCCTGCCTCCCCAATGACCCATTTCTGGCTCCTCAGATGAGGAAGAAGAAGATGATGACGACGAGGGGCCGGCGCTGAAGAGAGCTGCTGAAGAGGAGGTTTGGGCTGGGTTGTGGGGCCTGAGGGGCTGTCAGGGATGCAGCAGGGGCTGGGAGCCCTTTGGATTTGGATCCAGAACCCTGTGGTGCATGGGCGGGTGCTGGAGCAGGGCAGGGACGGGGAAGTCCCTCTCCCATTTACCAGCTCTTTCCCTCTCCACAGGATGAAGCTGATCCCAAGCGGCAGAAGACAGAAAATGGGGCATCGGCATGAGCCCCCTGCCAATGGGCTGGGGAAGGAGGCCCCTCAAGGCCTGGAGATGGGGGCAGGAACAGTTCAGTGCAGCCACCTTCACCTGATTCCTTGCTCTGGGCCCTGCATCAGAGCTGCCACCCTCTTTCTCCCCAGCCTTCTCATGTCCACCTCTCCAGACACTGCCCTTCCATCCTCACTCTGCCATTGTTCCACCTCCTGACCTGTTCCATCTGAGCTCCCCAGCTGGTCCCCAATTGCTTCCTTTCCCTCTTCTTTCTCTCTTCCTCACTCCCACCCCTCCTCCGATAGCTTCTCCTTCGGAACCTCTGCATCCTAGCCTTCTGTCCTGCCCATCCCTACCCTGCCTGATCCCTGGGTCTCCTTCAGATCCCCTTCTCTCAGACAGCGCCAGGCCAGGGTGGGGCCAGGGTTGGGACCAAGCCCCACAGCTGCCCCCCCTCTCCTCCCCTTTTTGTATAATTTAATAAAGAAATGGTCGCGCTTCTGTTTTTAACCTGTCTCCTGCTTTCCCAGGGCAGAGGGAGGAGGGTGGCTGTGTCACATTCTGTTAGGACCGTTCCCTTCTATTAAAAAGTGCCCTCCTATTACCCACCACTAAGGAAGACAAGGTCAGCACTTTCAGGGTGGACACGGAGGACGGCTTCTTTGAGAACTGACTGTTGTCCTGATTTTGGATTCTTGGGGAATTCCTCCCCAGCAATACACGCGCACTTCCCTGCTAGCCCACACCAGGTCTAGACACTGCTGAGCCCAGTGGAAAGCTACCAGCCTTATTGTGCTGAACCAGGCAGAGACGGCCTCAGAAACAGGAAGTCCCACCCCTGCAGTGGGAGAAGGCTGGAGGCCTGGGTCTCAATTACCTGGGACCTGGAGTGAGTGAGTTGCCTCTGCCTGGCACTGAGGTGTGAGTACCTGGTTAAGCAGAGAACTCCAGGGCCTCTTGTACCCAGGCAGGCTGCAAGTTCTTGGCACCCGCCCTCCATCACTCCCTGCTGGGCTCCTCAGGCTGGGACAGGTGGGAAGCAAGGGTTTCAGCCTTCCCTAGTACTTCTGCCTCAGTTTTTCTAGAGTTTGGTCTCTGTTGCAGGATTTCTGTGTTTCGCGGTATCACCCTTGCCAATCTAGAACCTCTAGGTTGGGAGCAGGGGTCTGAGCTGGGGCAGGTGCGTGTGACTTATTAACACCACCAGCTTGTTAAAGACCCATACTTCACCCACAGTCAGGACTACACACAGCTTTTGTCTTCATACTCCGTAACTGACCTTGCCACATTATTTCGTCTCTGAGCCTGCCTCAGTTTCCTCATCTGTACAATGGGGATAACATTAGGTTTCCTGAGTTGCTGTATGTAGTGTCCAAAACTGCTTAGCCCATACTGAAAGCTCATAGCTATTTGGGCTTGAGGCGCCCTTTTCCAGGCCTATCTTTTAAGGTCCGATAAACCTTCCTGTCTACCTTATTCCCAAGAATGATTGGGTGGGTGGGGGAGGCAGGCCTAGAGCGGTAATGACGTTCTGGGAGGTTAAAGGAGTGAGGGAGGAGTTGAGTACCAAAGAAAGGGCTGGCCAGGAAGAAAGTGTGACTGTTGGAACTGACGGGGGAAACAGTTTACAGCTTGTAGAGAAGGGCAGAAGGTCCTGGGAAAGGGAATAGTCAGGAGGGTGGGGGAGGGCGTGGAGGAGGTGGTGGGGACACCCAGGACTGAGGAAATAAACAAGGGGAGCGCCAGCCACCACAGGGGTGGAGGGTAATGCTGCTGGGAATCAGCCCCCTCAGACTTTCCACTGCGAAGCGAAACCGTGAGCCCTGGGGTGTGTGGGGGGGCAACGCAGAGGGGAAGTGGGGAAGGTGAAGGGAAGGCAGAAGGACAGGGGCAAGGGCCCTGGGAACAGACAGGCCTCCCAGCTCAAGACATCCACCTTGCCTCTGCTCTGCTCTCTGCCACTGCCCTGCCCCATTACCTAGGACTCCCCCCCACCCCCCCTTACCTTTCTCCCTCCCCTCCCCAGCCCCTGGCTGCCTGACCTGGCCAGCTTTCCTCTGGATTCCAGCCTCTGGGCATCGGTTCCTCCCCTCTCCCTCCAGGTCTCTGTCCCTGTCCCTCTTCTCGTAGGTTCCTTTCCTCCACCCTCCACCTTGCAGAACCTCTCTTTTGTCAGGCTGTCTCTCCCTCCTTCTTGACCTCTTCCCTTTGGAGGGCTCCTCCCGGCCCAGACCTAAGGGGAGATGGGGGAAGCCCAGTTCCTGGTCTTGGTGCTTCTGCCCTTGCTGTGGGTGGCTCCAGGTAAGATGGGGATGACGCTGTGAGAGGGTTGACCCAGACCCACAGGAGGGGGTCAGCAGGGATCTCCGGATGACTACACAGAAGCCAGGGTTCGTAGTTTGGGTGGATTTTTCTCAAGCCTTGATGGGGGGCAGTCCTTCAGCCCCAAAGCCTCTCATCAGGCTCCCCGTTGGCAGGAAAAGGACAGAACCCTGGTCTTCCTCAGGCTCCTTCTCTACTCCTAAGTCTCTTGGCTCATGGTCCCTCCCTTTGGCCTCTCTTTTCCTCCCCAGTGGAGGCACCAGGGCCCCGGACCTCTGTCCGGGAGGTGTGGGCCCAGGAGGGGGCTCCTGCCCAGCTCCCCTGCAGCCCCACAATCCCCCTCCAGGATCTCAGCCTTCGAATAGGAGGGGTTACCTGGCAGCATCTACCAGACAGGTATGCACCCCAAACTTGGGCAACAGAACTCCCAAATCCAAGGTTCAAGCCGGCCCTCGGTCCCCTCCCGGGAGCTGTCAGTCCCTCTGAAGCCAGTGGCCTGCCTCCCCTGCCACCATGCACCCTAGGCCCTTCCTCATCGAGGCAGCCCGTAGGTTGCCAGCAGGGGATGGTGCTGCCCCAGTGCGAGGGTGGACACGGGGGGGCGTTAATGGTCAAGAGATCTGCCCTTTGGGTGGGCTTCCTTATCCTCGGAGTGTGGCGGGACTGCATCTCTCTCGAGACTTCTTTCCCTTTAATGTCTCCATCTCTCTCTCCCGCTCCCAGCCCGCCCCCAGCCCGGAGCGCCCCCTACACCGTGCTGAGGCTGGCGCCCGGGGGCCTGCGCAGCGGGCGGCCGCCCCTGCAGCCCCGCGTGCAGCTGGAAGAGCGGGGCCTCCGGCGCGGCGACTTCTCGCTTTGGCTGCGCCCGGCCCGACGCGCGGACGCGGGCCAGTACCGCGCCGCCGTGAACCTCCGGGACCGGGACCGCGCCCTCACCTGCCGCCTCCATCTGCGCGTGGGCCAGGCCTCCAGTAGGTGGGGGCGGGGCGAGGGGCGCCGGGCTGGGAGGAGGGCGCCCCGTTCCAGACGCCGCCGTCCAGAGGCAGGAAGGGCTGGGCCGAGGCTGCGCTTCTAAGGATGCGCCCTGGGCCCTGCCGGCGAGCCCCCAGAAGGGTAGCGGAAGAGGGTGGGGAGCCAGATCGCGAAGTGGAAGGTGCCCCCAGAAAAGCACGTGTGGGGGAGGAGGGCTCTTTGGAGAGATTATATCACCCCTTGCGCTCCCCTTCCCCCACCCGCCGTGGGAGTGCCAGGGTGGAGGAGGGGAGGCACCCCTGGGGAGGGTGGGGGGAGGGAGGGTGCCGGCTAGAGTGATTCATTTCAGGCATCTGTGGCTCAGGAGGTGGGCTGAGTGGGGATCCTCGGGCAAGGAAGGCCTGGTGAAAGGGAAGACCAAGCCAAGTACACTTGGAGGCTGGAGTCTCTGGGCATCCATTTTAAGCACTTCCAGGTGCCAGGCACTGAGCTGGGAGCGGGGAGCGCCGAGGGGAGAAGACAAAGAAATTTACATGGTGGTGCCTAGAGCTCCCAGCCTAGTTGGCCTGCTGTGTTGGGAAAGTGTTTGCCTGGGGCTGATCCACCCTTCCAACCTTCTTTATCCGTGTGCAGTGACCGCCAGTCCCCAAGGGCCTCTCAGGACCTCGGATTGGGTCGTCCTGAACTGCTCCTTCAGCCGCCCTGACTTCCCGGCCTCTGTGCAGTGGTTCCGGGGCCCAGGCAGAGTCCCTGTTCAGAAGTCTCCCCATCACCACTTAGATGGGAGCTTCCTCTTCCTGCCCAAAGTCAGCCCCGTAGACTCTGGGCTCTGGGGCTGCATCCTCACCTACAGAGATGGCTTCAGTGTCTCCAGTGCCTACAACCTCACTGTTCTGGGTAACGCCTCCCGTCCGCCTTCATCCGTGACCACAATGCCTTGCTGCCCTCTTCTCATCTCCTCCTGACTTGCGGGTCCCCACAGTAGGTCCTCAGCAGCTTACACCACCTGTGATTATTCTGGGCCTCACCGTCCGGTTTCTTCCTTTCTCCTGTTGCAGCCTTTCAGCTGCCTTCTCCCATAGTAGACTTTCCTTGGGCCACCCAGCCACAATGGCCAGCCTTTGGTTTCCTGCTGGCCCACTCCCATCCCGGGTTTCTGAGCCTCTTTGGTTCTTCCACCTTATTCTACTCCTTAGCACTCTTCAGAGCCGGACCACCTCCTTTGCTCCTGCACTTTTCTGCCCCTCTTCCATTCAGATCCAGTGTCCCAGCCCCTCTGCCACCTCCCCCTCTCTGCTTTAACCCACCTCCCCCTCTCTGCTTTAACGTTGGGTTTCCTTTTCTCTCCAGATCCGGAGCCTGCAGTCCCTCTGACAGTGTACGCAGGAGCAGGTTCCCGGGTGGAGCTGCCCTGCCCTCTGCCTCCTGGTGTACGCACCGGGTCTTTTCTCACTGCCAAGTGGGCCCCTCCTGGGGGAGGCCCTGACCTGCTGGTGACTGGAGACAATGGCAACTTTACCCTTCAACTGGAGGCTGTGAGCCAGGCCCAGGCTGGGACCTACACCTGCCGCATCCATCTGCAGGGGCAGCAGCTCATTACCACCGTCACTTTGGCAGTCATCACAGGTCAGGCCTGTGTGGGAAAGGAGTAGCTCCCAACCCAGAGGAGCTGGACAGGGAGGGATGCCTGGATGGGCAAATACTGGCAAAGCCACCTCATGATGCCAGGCCATGGGCACAATTTCCAGAGGCTGCCCCTCGAGGCCTCTTCTTTTCTCGCCCCCATATATAAAAACTGAAACTAAAAATCTCCCCTGAGTCACTAGATGCATGTTCCACTCTTCTCTAAGGGGATCCCCTGCTCTGAATTGGGGGGGGTGGGGGGAAGGTCTGAGAAGTTAGAAGGAGAAGTGGTAAAAGTTTGAATGGTTCCAAAGGGGTGGACTATATTTCTAGAATCCTTGTCCCACTTTGGGGCCAGGGCTTGGGTTAAAGTTGCAGGAAGTGGCCTGGATTTGGGAGGAGTTAATACATCAGTTCCTTGGTCAGCAAGTATTTACTGATCATGGGCTTTTCAAGACAGTGTAAAACAAACACATTAAAAAAAACAAAACCACCTCAAAATATGTTGATTGATTAGTTATTCAATCAATTACCAGTGGTGGTTACTTGACTGTGTCTGCAGTACTAACCTGTGGAAACTAAATAATAGCACCACATAGTAGGTGCTGAATGAATATAGTTGAATGAATAAGTGATTATGCTAGCAAATAATACATCCCCTGTCTGCCAGTGCTGAATTTCCATATACTTCCTGGAAATTTCTACCTAGATCTCAGCCGCACTCTGAACCCCATCTTTTCCTCATGCTAAGTCTTGCTGACTTAGCCTTTCTGTCAATAACGCCATTTTCATCCCACTCACCCTGAAACCTGGCTTTCTCCTTCCCTCATGTCCAGTCAGTTGCCGAAGCCTACCAATTCTTTCTGTCTAAGGTTTTCTTGAGGGCCCGTTGTTTTGTGTCAGTTTCCCATGCTATCTCATGACAATTCAACGCGAGATGCTTTATAGAGGAGGAACATTCCCAAAGTCACACCCCAGGGAAGTGTCAGACTCAGGGTCTGTACTCAGCTGTCTGTGTCACCAAATCTTCAGGTTCCTGTGCACTATTTGTCTCCTCCTACTCACCCTGTCTCTCACCGTTCAGCTTTGAGATGCTCTGTCTCTAGGTCAGTTGGTCAGTTCACCCTTCTCCAAACATCCAGGAAGTGGGCAAGTTCATTCAGGGGGCACCTCAAGGCAGGGGCACTGATGTGTGATTCAAATTACGAAAGCAGGAAGAGTGCAAAGTATATTGGAGGCCAACTCACCTAACAGATATTGAGGGTTTGAGCATTTGAGTGGTAGTAATGTAAAAGAGTCTGAAATAATATTCGTTATGGGATCCTTCTGGCCCAGTTTGAGTTTGAACAGTCCCCTGAAGGCAACAGGGAGCCTGGGTAGTTTTTGAGCAGCGGAGTGATCTGACCAGAACTTTGTCTTCACAAGATTACTTTGGCCATGACCCTGGTCTCCTCCCCTCAGCCTCACCCAATCAGAGCCCAGGGGAGTGCAGTGTGCCTGAGACTTGGGAGTTGATCCTATGGTGTCAAGTAAGGGGGCAGGGGACTCAAAAGATCTCTTCCCTCTAATGTTTTCAGTGACTCCCAAATCCTCCGGGTTACCTGGCAACCTGAGAAAACTTCTTTGTGAGGTGACGCCGGCATCTGGACAGGAGCGCTTTGTGTGGCGCCCCCGGGACAAGTCTTCGAGGAGTTCCCCAGGACCCTTGCTGGAGGTGCAGGAGGCCAGCCTCCTCTCCCAGCCCTGGCAGTGCCATCTGTACCGGGGGGAGAGGCTTCTCGGAACAGCGGTCTACTTCACGGAGCTGCCTGGCTCAGGTCTGAGACCCCGCAACACGGGGTCCCCAACTCCAGACCAGTCATCTTGATCCTACTTGCAGACCTCCTCCCCACCCCTCCCAGCTCTTTCTTTTCCAATCAGGGCCCTGACTTCCAGCTCTTGTCTAGTCCTGACCCTCTCCTGCCAGGAATTAGTTGAATGATCCTGGATGAGTCCCTTAAACTCTTTGGGCCTCGTGGTCTGCGTCTGTGAAATGTGAGGGTGTGGCCAAACGTCCTTTCAGTCGTGACTCTGTGCCCAATCCTGTACTTCTCCTTAGGTGCCCAGCGCTCCGAGAGAGCCCCAGGAGCCCTGAAGACAGGCCACCTCCCTCTCCTTATCGCCCTCGGTGTCCTCCTACTGCTCCTTTTGGCGACTGGAGCCTTTGGCTTTCACCTTTGGAGAAGACCGGTGAGCCAGGGACTCCCCTCCCTTGCCACTGGTTTCCCTTCTCCCCAGTCCTCCGTGCTGTCTGGCAGCACCTCCTCAGCAAAGGTGACTAAGGTGGGGCCTGAAGTTGCCTTTACAACCCCTTCTTCATAGGCCTCTGCACTCCAGGGACCCCTGGTGCCTGAAGAATGCAGGGGAGGCTTGAAGGGGCTGAGAAAAGGCCTGGGACACATGGCGAGGGCAGGGGAGGAGAAAGAATAGATGGACCCAGTAGCCTCCTTACTCCCTTTCTCTTCGTCCTTTTCTTTCTCTCACCCTCCATGTCTTCCCACAGTGGCGGCCAAGAAGATTCTCTGCTTTAGAGCATGGGATCCACCCACCTCAGGCTCAGAGCAAGATAGAGGATCTGGAGCAAGAACCAGAGCCGGAGCTGGAGCCACAGCCACAGCCACAGCCACAGCCACAGCCATAGCAGCCCTGACCTGGAGCTGGGCAGCCAGTGGATCTCCGTAGCTCAGTACAAATAAACTCCCATCAGCAGCAAGCCTGAGTCTGGCTCCTTCTTGTCCAGTGAAGAGTCTTGTCTCTCCCCAACCTCTGGGGGCTCCCTTCTCCCACTCCAGCCTTTCAACCTTTTCTCCCCCCTGCCCCCCTCCCCACTAGGCTCTCTTATCTTCTCCTTTCTGTTCCTGGCTTCTCAGTGATTCTTTTCTCCTTAGTCTCTTTCTTACTATCTCTTATGGGGAGTAATTTTTCTAAAGCTCCAAAAAGCCCTCACCCCTTACCTCGACAGCCCTTTCCTGCCTTTGGCTAAGTCGTGCTGGCTGCCCTGGTTTCCTTTATATTTTTATTCCTCTGGCCCACCCCACCCCACCCCACATTCAGCTCCACTTCAGCACTGTCCTTGTCCCTCTAGTTGTAGTGGGTGCGTGTGTGTACACACACACACACACACACACACACACACACACACACACACACACGAAACAGCCCTGCCCTGTCGAATCCTCCTGGAGATCAAGTCTTGCAACCTTTCTGTGCGGGCTGCTGGGGTTCCTGTCTGCTTCTGCCCCACCCCCACCCCCACGTTCCTCAGCTCCTGGGGCCGCATCTGTTCCTAGGCATGAGGACACACTGCCACCCAGTGGTCACTGTCTCACACCACTGGGGGTTCCTGGGTAGGCTGGGCACGTGGGAGATTAGCAGTGCAGTGGACAGGCAGCTGGTGTCCCCACATGTAGGCACCGCCTTTGTGGGGTGCCCTTGCTAGGGTCTGCATATGAGGGTGCACCCAGCAGCTGTCACATGCTCTATGCACCCACCAGGAGAAGGACTGAACAATACATGCCTCAGGATACATAGCCCTGGACCTGCGAGGCTAAGATCCAAGTCTGACAAAGGAGAGTGTTGTGAACAAAGGCCCCACGTGGGGACAAGAGCAGCCAGCGAGGCAGCTGGCCGCTGCTGCAGCTTTGGGAGTCAGGAGCCCTGGCTTCTGACCCCAGCTGTGCTGACGTGACCAGAGTTAATCTCCCTGCGCCTCGGTTTCCTCACCTGTTAAATGGGATGGTTATAACCCACCAGAATGGACTGTTGTGAGTATTGGATAGCAAAAGGGCTTAACTGTGCTGTGCTCCACGCATGTGATGTGCTTGTCTGATCATCCCTTTGTGAAGGAGGAAGCAGGCCTGCTCTGGTCATGCCAGGAATGATAGAGACGACCCACCCGCCTGCCTGCCCGCCCGCCCTGTCTGTCTGTCCCTCTCAGAGAGAACATTCATGAATGCTGGTCGCGGTCTTAGAGCACACAAACAGCCTCAGCCCACAGCACCCCCACAGCGACCTAGACCTCTGCCTGCAATGTGGGCCACGCTCTGGACTTTGGCCGCAGACAGCTCTGTCAGGGAACTTTACCCTGGGCAGGAGGGCAAAAATATTGAAAGAGAGTGGGAGCAAGACTGCAGCAGCAGGAGCCCCTTGTTTTAGTGGGGCAGGGGTTTCCTGGAAATTTTTGTGGGTGGCCTTTTTCCTTTTGACTAGGTAACATCCTATGCCCTTTGGGCTTCTGAAAGCAGTCATCGAGGATTCACCAGTGTCTCTGCGGGGACTTCCCCTTGTTCCTGCACAAAGGGAGCAGGGAGGGGACAGAGGCAGAGCGACGGGCCACCTGGTTCACCCACTAAGGAAGTGAAGAGCAAAGAAAGGACGGGAGGAAGAGAGGGCATGGGGCTTGTGCTTACCGTGATCCTTTTATTAATTTTCACCTCCTTCCCTATGAGATCTCTCTTAGCGGGTGACACACCCTGCCCCTTCCCCTCTCCCCTCAAAGCTCTAGCAAGATAACCTCCAGCCCATTTTGTGTTGTCCTCGTCCTTCCAGGGAGCTGGGTTGATTCATCCCGCGCCTTCAGGCTTCTCTGTGAACCGAACCAGTATTCCAGGCTGGGGACCTAGAGGGGAAGGGGCACCAAGGAGGCAGGCAGCTCAGCCCTAGCCAGGTAGCTCAGTTGGTTAGAGCATCGTCCTGATATGCCAAGGATGCAGGTTTGATCCTCGCTCAGGGTACATACAAGGAGCAACCAATAAATGCATAAATCAGTGGTTCTCAACCTTCTGGCCCTTTAAATACAGTTCTACATGTTGTGACCCAACCATAAAATTATTTTCATTGCTACTTCATAACTGTAATGTTGCTACTGTTATGAATCATAATGGAAATATCTGATATGCAGAATGGTCTTAGGCAATCCCTGTGAAAGGGTCATTTGACCGCCAAAGGGGTTGAGACCCACAAGTTGAGAACCATTGGCATAAATGAATAAATAAGTGGAACAACAAATCAATCTCTCTAGACTCTTTTCCCCTTCACCCGTCCTCTCTCTCTCAAATCAAATAAAATTAAAAAAAAAAAGGAGGCAGGAAGCTCAGTGGGGCCTGTGGAGGGTGGGGGAGGGATCATCTCAGGTCCTTGTTTTTTTGTGTGTTTTTTAAAAATATATTTTTATTTCAGAGAGGAAGAGAGAGATAGAAACATCAATGATGAGAGAAAATCATTGATTGGCTGCCTCCTGCAGGCCCCACACTGGGATTCAAGCCCACAACCCAGGCATGTGCCCTTGACCAGAATCACACTCAGGACCCTACAGTCCGTAGGCCAATGCTCTGTCCACTGAGCCAAACTGGCTAGGGCTTAAGTCCTTGTTAAAAAGGAAGGGATGTAGCCCTGGCCGGGTTTGGCTCAGTGGTTAGAGTGTTGGCCCGCAGACCAAAGGGTCGGGGTTCGATTCCCAGTCAACAGCATGTACCTCGGTTTCAGGTTTGTACCTTGGTTCCCAGTTCAATCTCAGACCCTGGAATGCAGGAGGCAACGAGTTGATGTTTCTCTCGCCCCTCCCCGCCCCCTCCATCCCTTCCACTCTGTCTGAAAATCAATGGAAAAAATATCCTTGGGTGAGAATTTAAAAAAGAAAAGGGGGTGGGGATGTATTAAGTACCTATTGCCGCATTACAAATCACCCCAAAACTCAGTCATTTAAAACAGTAAACATTATCTCACATGATCAGGAAGGAACCCAGGAGCAGCCGACTAGTTCTGGGTTAGGGTCTCTTGTGAGGTTGCTGCCAAGATGTGGGTCAGAGTGGAGTCACCTGAAGGTGTGACTGAAGGATCTGCTTCTAAGAAGGACCCTCAGGTGACTGCTGGCCAGAGGGGTTAGTTCTGCCCCACATGGGCCGCCTCTTAGTGGTTTTCCCCAGAAGGAGGGAGTGGCCAAAACAAAAGCTACCATGTCTTTATAACCTAATCTGGAAAGTGGCATACCTTCCCTCCTGCCTTATTCTATTGGTCACACCGGCAATGCTAGTGCAGTGTGGGAGGGGACAACACAGGGTGGGAACTGAAGGAGACAGGAATCACTGGGGGTCCATCTCTTATCACCTGGGCTATCATAGGGGGAACAGTGCCTGAAAGAGAGCTAGGCTATGAGAGGGGGAACGGTATCTCTGAGTACCTCCCCTCTCCCCACAGCCCTGCATGACCTGACAGCCTCCCCCATTGTCCACTGTCCAGAAATTCTGGAGGCCACACGAGGTCCAGAGCCTTGCCAAGTCAAGTGTGCCAAGCAAGAGGCCATGCTGTGCTCATCCAGACCAGTGATCACATTTGCCAGATGTCCCCCTCCCCTGACCTTGGTCTTCTTTTTAAGAATTCTATATGGCCCTAGCCGGTTTGACTCAATGAATAGAGTGTTGGCCTGCAGACTGAGGTCCCAGGTTCGATTCCGGTCAGGGGCACATGCCCAGGTTGTGGGCTCAATCCCCAGTGAGGGGCATGCAGGAGGCAGCCAATAGATCGGTGATTCTCTCTCATCATTGATGTTTCTATCTCTCTCTCCCTCTCCTTTCCTCTCTGAAATCAATAAAAATATATTCAATAAAAAAGGACATATTTAGGTTAAAAGATAGTATGATATAGAATTCTTTTTTAAATATAAGAAAATGGGGGATTGAGCTCACAACCTGGGCATGTGCCCTGACCAGAATCAAACCATGACCTCCTGGTTCATAGTTCAATACTCAACCACTAGGTCGCCACGCCAGTTGGGGTTCCTTAAAATAAATAAATAAATAAAATTATATATATATATATATATATATATATATATATATATATATATATATATGCCAGATTATTATGACCACCTGATGTTTGTAGGCAAATTAGCCATACACTGCATCGTATGGGATATGGAAGCCGAAGGCCTGTTCAGACACCTTTGCTGTCTGCAGTTACCAAGATAAAACGTCTCCAATTCGCACAGGAACACAAGGATTGGACAGTCGAGCATTGGAAAAAAAGTCATGTGTTCCGATGATTCACGTTTCCAGTTGCATCATGCAGATGGCAGAGTGAGAATTTGGCGGAAACAGCATGAAAGCATGCACCCCACATGCATGAGTACAACCCTTCAAGCTGGTGGGGGCAGTGTTATGGTTTGGGACATGTTTTCCTGGCATGATTTGGGCCCTTTAATTCGTGTGGAACAACGTCCGAGTAGCACAACATACCTAAGTATCGTTGCTGATCAAGTTCATCCTATCATGTTGATGGCATATCCCAATGGAGATGGCTTCTTCCAACAAGACAATGTGCCATGCCACGGTGCTCGTATTGTGCAGGAGTGGTTTCAAGAACATGAGGGAGACTTTTGCTTGCTTAGGTAGCCCCCACAATCACCAGATCTCAATCCAATTGAGCATTTGTGGGACGAAGTTAAAAGAGCCATCAGGCAGCTGGTTCCACAACCATCAAATCTCACAGAACTGGACAGTGCTATTCATCAGGCATGGTGTCAGATTCCTCGCATCACCTTTCAACATCTCATGGAGTCACTGCCAAGAAGAATTGCTGCAGTATTGAAGGCAAAGGTGGCCCAACGAAGTACTGATGGGGTGGTCATAATAATCTGGCCACTCAGTGTATATCTACACTATATCTATATCTATATCTATATCTATATCTATATCTATATCTATATCTATTTTA